CGGTTTTGGACGTCCCCCGCGCCCGAGGGGGCCGGCGGGCCCTCCCGAACGCCACCGCGGGGCTCCTCGCGGCGTTGATCAACGCGGCCGGCGATCCCTCCGGCCGGGCCGGGCCGAGGACTTCGCCTCAGGCGCATGGCGGTGGGGGGTTGAATCCTCCTTCGGGTGAGTTCTTTGCGGCCGGGGAGGCGGCGGCCTCGGGGGCCCTTTGGGGGTCGTTTTTTCACGAACTTTGCCGTCAATCGCGCGCGATTCTTCACGCGGCGACGGCGGCCCCCGCTGCCACGGACTCGGCGATGGGCTTTTCCGCCGCGCGAGCGCGCGGCGAGGCCCTTCTCCACGCGCTGGAATCGCTCTCCGCGCTGCTCAGCCGACTTTCGCAGGACTGCGCGCCTTTCCTGCGCGTTGCCCTCGCCGCGGAGGGGGCACATTTCGAGTTGTTTTGCGAGTCCTTCGAGAATTTACTCCACGCGATGGCCCGACTGGGGCAGTTCGCGCGCGGGGCGTTCCAATCCGCGGGGGCCGCCCCTCCCTTTCCGCCCGCCGCGGCGGGTTTCTGCCCTTTCCCGGTCGCCGCGGCGCGGGATCTCCTCGAGGCGCTCGCGGGGACCGTCGAGGCGGCGATTTTCCCCCCGCCCGCCGCCGTTTGGGCCGAAAGCGGCCGTTTCGATGCCCGGAGGCGGCGCTTTTCATCGACGCCGGGGGATTTGTCGGTGGTTTCGCCGCGGACGTGGGCCCTACACCGGGCGGCGATGGCGTTTATTCAATCGCAGCTGCGCGCGCCGCGCGGCGGCGCGCCCGGGCTTCTGGCGGCGATGTGGGGGCATCTTCGGCTTTTTCTTCCCCGGCCTCTCCCCGGCGACGACGACGCGGATGGGCCCGCGGGGGAGGCCGCCATCCCGCGCGACGTCGTTTCGCTTCGGGATGGCTGCCTCGAGGCGTTTTTCCCCGCCCTGCTCTCGCTTTGGCGCTCGGGGGGGGCAAATCCCACCTTGACGCCGCATTGGCTGAAGGCGCAGGGGGGGGTTTCCACTATTGAGGGGAGTTCTCCCCCATATGAGGGGAGGTTTCCCCAATACGAAGGGATTTCTCCCCAATATGAGGGGGGTTCTCCCCAATATGAGGTTAATTCTCCCCAATATGAGGTTATTTCTCCCCAATACGAGGTTACTTCTCCCCAATTTGAGGCTTTTAACAATCCTTCCGCGGCGGACGAGGTCGAGGGGGCGGTTTCGGCCTCTTTGGGCTTCATGGAGGAGGCGGTTGCGGCGGTCGCGGGGCTTCCCGCGTTTCGCGCGTGGGCGCCGGATTTGCTCCGCGCGGCGGTCGACTTGGCCGTCCTGCCGCGGGAGGTGCGGGGGTTGGCGAGCGAAAGGCCGGGGTGGGATGGCCCCCAAACCCCCCACATCGCGGAAGAAGACACCGCGGCGGCGGAAGAGGAGGACGAAGAGGAGGTTTTTCGCGTGAACGCGATGCGACTTCGGCCTTCCCGCCGCGAGGAGGGGCGTTCCGCGAGCCCGAGCGAGGCCGATGCCAACCCGGACCGCGAGGGGCCGCTGGGGTTGGGGCTGGAGGCGATGTTGCCCGACAACGGCGCCCGGCGCGAGGCGATTTCGGCCTTTTTGCGCGCCCTGGCGACGGCGATGGCGGGCGAGGACGCCCCCGACGCGC